GCCTATGAGCGATCTGAGAGCTTGGAGGTGGCCTTCGTTACTCAGCTGGTGAAGAAGTTGCTAATTATCATCTCCCGCCCAGCAAGGCTACTGGAGTGCCTGGTGAGAGGGCTGGGCATGTGCAGGGGGGCTGGCGGGGGCCCCTCAGAGCCTGCCGCAAGCCCCCACCTGCCCTGCCTCAGGAATTCAATCCCGAGGAATTTTACCATCTGCTGGAAGCAGCCGAGGGCCATGCCAAGGAGGGCCACCTCGTCAAGACGGATATCCCCCGCTACATCATCCGCCAGCTTGGCCTCACCCGTGACCCCTTCCCAGGTGCCGGCTGGCGTGTGCAGGGGACTATGGGCTAGTAGACCTGACCCCAGCTCCTAGCTCACTCTCAGTCCCTTCCTAGACGTGGTGCACTTGGAGGAGCAGGACAGTGGTGGCTCCAACACACCTGAGCAAGATGACCTCTCCGAGGTAAGGCCAAGCGTTCCTTCACATGCTGGTTCACAGGCAGGCAGGCCTGCGATCACATGCTGGCTCTACTCCCCAGTCTGTGGGATCTTTGATTCTTGGTCTTCCACACTTAGCCTCAGTGTCCCATCTGTCAAATGAAGTTACAATAGTTCTTCCTGCATAGAATTTGTGTGTGTATATGGACTCCTGGTGTGGCACTGTAGGATCAGCACTGGACTACGAATCTCAAAGTCACAGTTCAAACTTACCAGCTGCTCCTTGGAAACCCTATAGAGGGTTGCTATGAGTCAGAACTGACTCAACAGCAGTAAATAACAACATGGCAAAATTCACACAATATAAAAATTTACCATTCTTTTTAAATAAAAAAAATTTGCCATTTTAATGTGTATAACTCAGTGATGTTTTGTATAGTTTTGTATTGTACAACCATCATCACTATATTCAGAACTTTTTCATTGTCCACACAGAAACCCCACATCCATGAAACAGTCCTTCTCATTCCTTTCTCCTCCCAATCCTTGGCAATCACAAATATGTATGTTTGTGTCCCTATAGATTTGCCTAGATTTGTTGTTGTTGTCAGGTGCCATCGAGTCGGAATCGACTCATAGCGACCCCATGCACAGCAGAACGAAACAATGTCCGATCCTGAGCCAC